TAAAAAAAACAAGCCTGTGGCTTGCTTAGTACCCCAACCCTACATCTGACCCCAACACTGCCCGGCCTGGAGCCACCTCCCCAGCCCAGCGTCCCCTTCTCCACCTCCTCCTGCATCCAGATTTCCTCCCAGAGCTTGCACCTCTCACCCCTTCGCACATCAAAATCCCTCAATCCCATCCCAGAGCCTACACATCCTGTCTCAACCCAAAATGCAGGACTATGTAGCACTTTAAAGACTAACAAGATGGTTTATTAGATGATGAGCTTTCGTGGGCCAGACCTACTTCCTCAGATCAAGTAGTGGAAGAAAATAGTCACAACCATAATATACCAAAGGATACAATTAAAAAAAATGAACACATATGAAAAGGTCTTTGTAGCAGAATGCAGGTAGTTAAGTCGTTGAGACAGTGTCCTTTCTGGTTGAAATGGCAAGAAATTGTTTTTTCTTTGTGATCCTGTCTGATATCTGTTTTGTGGGCATTAATCCTTTGGCGAAGTGTCTGAGACGTTTGTCCAATGTACATAGACGGACACTTTCGGCACATGATAGCATAAATTATATTTCTGGATACGCAGGAATATGTGTTCTTGATCTTATAACTCAGTATATATGGTTGTGACTATTTTCTTCCACTATTTAATCTGAGGAAGTAGGTCTGGCCCACGAAAGCTCATCATCTAATAAACCATCTTGTTAGTCTTTAAAGTGCTACATAGTCCTGCATTTTGCTTCAGCTACACCAGACTAACACGGCTACATTTCTATTACTAATGTCTCAACCCAGCGAGGATAAGGCTAGACTACAGGAGTTTTTCAGGATTCCGGAGATATCCCAGGAAAACTCTTCTGCATCCAGGGATGCATTTGTTCTTCCGCTTTTTTTAATGGAAGAGCAAACATGCCCTTTCGGTCACTCCTATAGTCCTCTTTCCACAAGGAATAAGGGAGCTTCCAAAAGAAGGGGTTTTTCTGATATTTGGTCCAGTCTAAACAGGCCAAATGTTGGAAAAACCTCTTCCTACAGAAAATTTGAAACAAAAAAAGCAGCAGTATAAGGGTTGGGGATAGAAAGCAATGGAGAGGAGAATAGAGAGGGCGAGGCTTCAAGGAAGGGGCAGCCAGTAGATCTTGGCTTGTTCTGTCATTTAAAAAGTGATCTTGGGTGTAAAAAGGTTGGAGACCACTGAGTCCTATGTCATCTGTCTTCCTATGGTCACGGTGTTCTTCAAATTGCTTTTTGCTTTTTATAGCCCATATTCTGGAAAGTACTGTGAAACTATGCACTACTGTGTCTGTATAGTACTTAAATAATATTTAATCACTCTTTAGGAATAGCTCTCCACAATACTCACTAAGGTGCTGCTTTTGATGGAAGAACTGTTCATAGTACAAACATTTAAACACATATACATATTTTGTACAAATGGGACCTAGCAGATGATGTTTACTCTTATCCTCACTTATGGCACTTTCACATTAAATCAAGAAAATCTGAATATAAAAACTTCAGGCCAAATAATCACTACACTTACAATCTAGATTTGTAGTACTGATGTAGGAATTCAATTAGGAAAAATACAATCAGCAATACTATCTTAATACTATTTTAAACGTAGTTTAATGCACTTGCATTTGGAAAATGTGTTAACAAGCAAACTTAAAATGGTTTAGTGCAAAAACAAAACTCTGACTTCATTAGCTACCTATATATATATATATATATATATATATATATATATATATATATATATATATATATATACACACACACACACACACATACATACATACACACACACACACACACACACACCAAAATAGTTCACTAACGAGTAGGGTGTCAAGTAAAAAAAAAATCAATTAGCGTGACTTACACAGAAGTTTTTCACACAGTATCTTTCACACTAGCCTTATCCAAAAATACTACTTAATTTCTTGCCAGTGTTGAGGGTTTGTAAAAGGAAGAAAAGACAGTAACACACTCCATCTCCCCCATTTTTGTTCAGTTTACATCTTAAATTGAAAAGCAATTGATAAAGAGCAGCACTAACCACTCTGCCCTGCAAGCTCAAGATACGGGCTATATGTTTTGTTAGTCTTTAAGGTGCTACTAGACTATTCGTTGTTTTTAAGTTTTTCTAGTTACAGACTAACTCCGCTACCCTTTTGAAAGCGTCTGAACTCGATCTACCTATAGGAAAACAAATCAGGCAGTCTTTGCAAAGCAAATCTCCAAGACATTAGAGAAAAGGCTCATTCGTCTCCTTTAAATATACTTTCAACCAGAAGCATCCAAAATGGAGGGAAAACGTCATAATTTAAACGTTTCCCATTTATCCTGATAGAAACGCTTCAAGGATACGCGGTCTCAGCCCGACACAGAAATGTAACAGATATCCGGGTTGTTTTGTCCATTGGGAATCCTGCCCCAGCCCGCCAGGCGAGTGGAGAGAGAGGCCGGAGAAGAGGAACCGATCCCGTGACCACCCCCTCTCCCCCGGAAGCCCCGCTGCAGCGCGCGGTGTGAGGTCGCGCTCGTTTGTTTCGCTGTGCCCCGCGCTCCCCAGTCAGCAGGGCCACAACCCGCCCGCGCCTCGCTCCTTAGCCGGGAAGCGCAGAACTCGGCCGTGGTCCGGCTCTCCATAGGGGTGCAAGGGAGCCTATGTCCCTCCGCCCACAGCCTCAACCCACGGGGGAGCCGGCCAGTCTCCCCGCAGGGGAGGGCCCCGCACGCCT